CGCGACGTACCCCCGTCCTACATCCATAAAAGAGGCCAGCTCCTTAACCGGAAACACATGGTTTTTCTCAAAGCTAGGGGGCAAAATACATTTTGGGGTTCCAAAAACTAGGAACAAAAAAAAAAAAAAAAAAACTATGTATAACTAGTTAAGTTTTTGTCCTTCATACAAAACAAAAGATACAGTAGATATACTGTGGTTTAGCTAAAGGAAAAGATACCAACATAAGAGTCGGATACGAGTACATTCATAGCGTGTGCCCTCTTCCAGTTTTAAGAGCTAGGCGGTGATTTATACCAGGTACATGAGTATTATACACATACTACGTATATATGTCATGCCAGATAGAAATAGTTAAACATATTGCCTAATCCGGGTACAAAGACCCGGAGTACTCGTGTCCGACTTTTACGGTATACAGTTTCTTCACAATCCTAGTTTAACCTTAATTTATACGAGTTATCTCTACTTTAGTGTTCTCCAAAAAAAGAAAAAAGTCACAACAATTTGGAGTTTTAGGAAAAATGCTTCAAAATAGTTTTTACTAGTGATGTGCCCATGCACATAGGAATATTTCGGAGGTTTTTCTAAATATTTCGGAATCTCATAATTCTGGCCTGCATTAGCAGCAAGCACCATAATGAGTCCAGAATTCCATGTGCATGAAATTTGAACAAAGCTAATTTGTAAGATTTTTATATTTGGATATCGAATGCATTTATGCAGTATGTAGATCATATACTGAAACTCCGCTTTAACCTCCAAAAAAGGGATCGTCTATAGCAGTAGCAGGTGTTATGATCTGGGAGAGTTTTAGTCTTACTTGAACCAATTTAGCTTTGATCGTAAGCAAAACTTATTAATATGGCTCGAATTAATTATTTCTTGATCTAGGTTATTTCGAATAAATTTCGGGTCCACAAAACAATAGGAATGCGTTCACGTGATTATAAGATAAACAACGCTGAATACGTATTGACCACAGTTTATACTTAGAAATAGAATGATCAAATGGCATTTTTGTTATTAGGGCAAAATTTTCTCTTTATTAACGTTTCTCTTTGATACATTTGTTACAGAGGAAATATATTAAGGACATATTTGCTTACAAACAACCAATTATTACTACTAACGCTAATTTTTCTTCAGCGTGAAACCCAACCCCCTTTTATATCTTCATCTCAGACTAAAGCTTTAAACCCTTGATAAGAGCTTCGCACTCCCATTAGGAGCTCTAACTCCTACTAAGAGCTTCTAGCTTCCCCGCCAGGAGCTAATCCCACCAAAATGTACTATGATGATCCCTTCCAGGCTTTATTCAAAATAAAATAAAATAAAATAAAATAATGATATGTAAAGTATGTACTAACTAAAAGAAATAAAAAAAATTAGGCACAAAACAGGATAGATTAGCGATGCAACCAAAATTCAGTAGGTCTGGCCCGAATTATGGGTCGGATTGCACTGGAATGGGCTGGCGTTGATTAATTTTGCCAAGATCACTCAAAATTTTACTAATGAAGCCATTGCTAGGGTTGTAGTTTTTCGTATTCTTGTGTAAGATTCGGTAGTTTTCATGTAATTTATAAGATATGATCATACTATTATATGATTTCATGTGATTGATTGGATCATATGTCATCGATTTTGATAAGTAAATTATGCAAAGTCTCAATAATGCAAGCTAAGCTTTCCATAATTCTGGTACTTTATATCACGTGTGAAATTTGCATGAAATTCATGTTACTGAAACTTACGCAAAACTACATGAAATGTAAGATTGTAAAATGTAATTTCAATTCTAACTATAGCTCACTTACTAAGTAAAGCTAAGCTGTCCAGATGATAATTTTGTCGTAATACAGTTAGGTGTTATTTCTTAATACCGGCCTAAATCCGATGAAATCCAACCCATAATTCGGCCGATATGCTGAATTTTGGTTGCGCTGATAATCTATCCTCTTACGTGACTAGTAGCCAATCAAGCTATAAATTTTGATTAACTCGGTGTTACTGCCGTAACATTCTGCGCTCAATATTTACATATTTTTAATCCTTTGTTATTATTTCCTTATATGTATTATTTCTTATTAGTATAGATATCTGTTCATTATCATTATAATTACCCCGTATAATTGTTTGTCGTAGTCTTTATTTGTTGTCCTACTGATGATTAATGGATTCACGATATTCCTATTTTAACCAATTCCCGTTTATTCCATTTATGGTATATGTTATGGTATATGTTAATTGGCAGTGTCACCATCGTATGGGAGAATCATGCCGAGTTTAACTCCGTAAGATAAGATGTGGAAGTTTGATGAAAACAAGGGAGCTCGCATTTCATGGTTATTAAGCATTAGGCGAGACCAACTTGATTTGGTGGTTTATATTACATCCCTTTTTCAAAAGAGGGGAGAAAAATGGAACATATACATAGTAAATTTATTAAAATTTTTTTTCAATCGGAAATTATCGGCCTGGCCTTACCCGCCTTTTATGTTCGTTCATTTTCTTTTCGGAATTTTTCGGATCCTTACAATTTCCAATCTTAATTCCGCCGGAATTGACTCTCCGGCCAAAATCATATATGTATATCCCAAAATTTTTTTTTTACTAAGAGAGAGGGGGAGGTCAAAAGAAGGGGGTAATGCAAACCACCAAATCAAATTGGTCTGGCCTTATTATAGAAAAAGAATATATTATTTATGTATTCTTTATCTAGCACGATTTCAGAGAGCATATATGGGAACGCCCACAGCAAAAGCAGGGGATGGGACTATATAATATATAGTCCCATCCCCTGCTTTGCTGTGGGCGTCCCCATATTAGATACATTAGATAGTGAACTAAATGGTGAACTAAGGGTGAGAACAACTCCTTATAGGGTAGATTGAAGAACAGTTAACCCAGTGATATTTTCGTGGTCATCACATCACATGATTAAATATTCGGCCTAAATTAGGGTTAGTGTTGGGGTCAGGTGATTATATAGTTTAGGCCGATTTGATAGTGTTAGTAAACAAATGACGTCATTGCATTGTTTCACGTGATGTGATTATCACTGGGTTAACTATTCTTCAAGTGTCCCCTCCTTATATACATTTCATTTCTTTTAATGTCTACGCTATGATTATAATATCTACATTACAAATTCTGACTCACACATGCTTTCTCACAGGCAGCTCATTCTATCAAGTTTATGCAAACGCGTATATGCTCAAAATATCACATAAACGCGACTAGGGAAAATTCACATGGGTTAAGTCACTAAGAATACATAATGTCTAATACGTACTATAAGGGTAGGATTAACATGGCTATGGTGATACAGATTATGGATAATATGTGACAACTTAATGAATTAGACAAATACGGAAGTGAGAGACACGGGGAAAATTTTTCGTTACAGTAGGGAAGGTGTTGAAAGATTGTTTAGTTAGTCGAGACCTTGATATTATTGACCATTGAGGCTGCATAAGCTTCATCAATGACTTCAATGGCATTGTGTCTTAGATCCGACATTAAAGGAAATTTATTCCACTCATTCTGTCTTGACTGCGGAACATCCTTAATGTATATAAACTAGAGATGTAAGCCAAACCCGGTAGTTTGGGACTTAGTAGATTCCCAAAGGGTTTTTACTAGTTACTACCATTGTATAGTAACTCAAACAACACAAAATACTATCTCACATGATCACGTCATAATCTGCGCCACAGCTATTTAATGGCGTTAAATACATATTATATAGAGCGATAAGTGTTTCAATAACACAGTAAATTTATTGATATTTACATGCTTACAAGGAAACAAACCAGAGAAAGTGTTGAGCGATACAAAATATTGTGTGTGCAAAAAAAAAAGAGTGCAAATAAAAAAAAATGCACAAAAAAAAGAGTGCAAAAACAAAAAGTGCAAAAAAAAAGGGTGCAAAAAAAAGGGCTCAAACAAAAAAAATGAGCAAAGAAAAAAGTGCACAAACAAAAAAAATCAAAAAAATAAAATTACTACAACAAATTTGCAGACCAGAGTTCACTTTTTATGATAGTCAAAGAATTAAAATCCATATTACCACTTCCCTGGGTTATGGTTGCATAAGGTATTTCTTTAGCATTATCTTATCTACCAAAACTCGTACCAAATTAACTATTGACTCAATCTCAAGATTCTCATGATTTGAGAATTGAAAAGATTCTGAAATATCATTTAGTTCAAAAATTATGTCATTATTATTTGTTGTTGCATAGGTTGTTTGAGTTAATGCACTATCACAAAGTTCACTTTCTGATAACTCTTTTCCATAAAATTTAAGTTTATTCTTGAGATTGGGGATGTAAAATGAATGAATTTGAGCCATGCATTCTAATCGTTCAGGTAATAATCGAGATTGGTATGTATCATATAGCCACCTTAAAATAGAGAAATTGAGCTTACAACTTGCTTGTGAAGCATTATTGCAAAAATGATTTGTGCAAATTTTTGAAGGTTAGAACATTTGTCTTCAATTATACTCCACTACAAACTAGGTAATTTGGAAAATCATAATCGAAGTCAAATAGAAATTTCTTATTGTAATAATGAATAAATTGCATAGTCATTTAGCGACACGCAGCTTATAACCTCTTGCAGCAGCCAAAACTACCATTAGCAGTCAAGGTTAATCATTAAATCACACAATTCCAGTATCATGCCTTTACAAGATTCATTCTGATTTTGATATCTGCTTTAAACCAATTCTTTTACTGATCTCTTCCAAACTACCAAAATAGTTAGCTCAACTGGGTTGTTATATCTAAGCTTTAAGTGCCTTTTAGTTTTACTTCTCTTG